TAATAACTAGAATTGAAAACGATTTCAGAAATTCGAACACAGGTTTCCTCAATTCTTAAACTTAATTTAGACTTAGAGTCAACTGGATTTATGGACAGAGCATTAGTATTATACCGGGCCATTGAGATATCATCCCACCCCGCCAACCGCTCAAAATCAAAATACAAAATTAAAAATAAATTAATGGGTGATATTGTTTATTCAGTCGATTACAATAAAACATATTGAATAAATGTTATTTTATGTTACTAATTACAGGTGCTATAGTCTATAGTTTGGAGCAAAGTTTTCTGATAGAAATGTTGTTCACCGATAGAAAAACAAAACGCATGTAGTAAATTCAATATAAGTTCTGAGGAACGAACCAAGGTTCACTCAAATTCTAAAATCATTAAAAATCATTTGCATCTAAATTACATTTAACAATGATATTTATTATTTTTTTTTTCTGGGAAAAACGTAGAAAAAACGTGAAAATAGATTCAATTTTATTAAAGAAAATATACAATGTAAATGGAAGTATTTATCCATAATATGACTTACTTTTTTGATAAGGAATTATCAATCGAACTTAGCTCAGAATCGTCTATTCGTAAGTAACAGTTAATCGTACAGCTTACAAATGTACATGAAATTACCATTAAAAGTGTATCCAATCGTTTCCATGATCCTAGGGTAACGTATTTTATTTTGTTGTTTGGCAATGTATATAAATTTTTTTCAGCCTCCACCCCCAAAATAGAATTCTGGATACACGGCTGTAACTNACATTCATTAAAGTATTATATATATCTTAAAAATGTTTTGTATCTGAAAGTATATGTTTCGAGTATTCCAATAAATTCTTCACAGACATTATCTCAGAAAAACTTGATTTTTAGTTAGTTTTATTTTCTATTACATTTTAAAAAGATGATGTTATGACAATTATGGTAATATTATAATTCGAGCTGAAAACGATTCCTCGAGTATTTTAATCTATAACAATATAAAATGATAATGTCATATCACATATGTTAATATAATAACTGGAGTTGAAAACGATTTCAGGAATCCGAATCCTCGATCGATAAATTGGAACTCGTAAGAATAATAAAACCTTACATCAATTTTAGTTAAAAACGGATAGAATTTTGGAAAATATTTTTATATAACTTACATTGTCTCGTAGCAAATTGTATATTTATCAGATGAACTAATTTCTGGGCACAAATTGTATATCAAATAAAATTGATTCTTTCTTAGTATTTAAATCTATAACATTTAAAAAAGATGACGTTATGACACTTATTTTAATATTACAGTTAGAGTTGAAAACGATTTCAGAAATCCGAATCGTCGATTTACAAATAGGAACTCGTAAGAAAATTTAAACACTTATTCAATTCAGGTTGAGAACGGATAGTCTATATGAAATATTTAATATATCAACTACGTCGTGGTCCTGGAATTGCTGGTGCTGGAGTAAAAAAAAAAAGAATTTCATTTAAAATATTTTTTTTTTATGTATTGCAAAATTAATCGCTTTCACGAAACCACGTCCAGGTTGAATTATGTATATACACAGACATAGGTTTCCTCAATTCTTAATATTATTTTAGACTTATAGTCAACTGGATTTATGGACAGACCATTATTATTATACCGGGCCATTGAGATAACATCCCAGCCCGCCAACCGCTCAAAATCAAAATATAAAATTAAAAATAAATTCATGAGAGATTTTGTTTATTCGGTCGATTACAATAAAACATATAGAATAAATGTTATTTTATATTACTAATTACAGGTGCTATAGTTTATTGTTTTGGCATAGTTTTCTGATAGAAATGTTTTTCACCGACAGAAAAAAAAAAACGCATGTAGTAAATTCAATATTAATTCTGAGGAACGAACCGAGGTTCACTCAAATTCTAAAATCATTAAATATCATTTGCATCTAAATTACATTTAACAATGATATTTATTTTTTTTATCTCTGGGAAAAACGTAGAAAAAACGGGAAAATAGATTCAATATTATTAAAGAAAATATACAATGTAAATGGAAGTATTTAATCATAATATGACGTACATTTTTGATAAGGAATTATCAATCGAACTTAGCTCAGAACCGTCTATTCGTAAGTAACAGTTAATCGTGCAGCTTACAAATGTACATGAAATTACCATTAAAAGTGGATCCAATCGTTTCTATGATCCTAGGGTAACGTATTTTATTTTGTTGTATGGCAATGTATATAAATTTTGTTCAGCCTCCACCCCCAAAATAGAATTCTGGATACACGGCTGTAACTGTGTAATGATATAGATTTCTATTTTTATATACAGGTAATCCTGAACCAACTATAATGCCATGAGGAAATGTCCTACGCACATTTATGTGGCTGTATTTATCTAATAAAAGTGGACACAAGGACTTAAAATGTCTTTAACTCCATTAAACCTCATTAGCACTAGTGAAGATGGAAAATTTATCTAAGGACATATTGCATGATATGGGATTTTACCCTATTTTTCTTCACTACCTTCCCCTAGTACAAATATATGTGTTTACAATTTACTGTTAATGTCCCCGACTCCGGAAATTATTATTGAACTTTTTTATACAATAGTAAGAGGTTTTCAAAAATTAGGCATTAATAAAACTAAAATTATTTACTTACAAAAAGCTTTAGTATATGATGAAACGAAAAAACAAAGCGAACGACATACCATTCTTATTATATTCAATTTGTTTGTAAATGGGTAATCAATGATGTTTCACACCCTAGAGAAGCAGTATGTAACCAATTTATAGCATAAATGTAAGCAGTAGATTAAGCATTCACTTAAGCATTCCTAAAGCGTTCCTCACTACATCAATACTTGGCTGTTTGTGCTAAATTTACATTAGGAAATCAATCATCTGACTCACTTTAACTCCCAATCTGTTTTGTTCAAATAGATATAGTTCATCTTTTAAAATTGATAAGTAAATGGATTTCAATAAAGACCCAACCTAGACGAGTTAGAGAAGTTATATTAAGCAATATAATTTCAATAATAGAAAGATAATCACTACCAGAAATATATTAAACTCTTTTATCTTTATTTATTGTTTTATCAAATGAAACAGATAGATCTGACATAAATACCGGACGAGCCGCTATTTGTGAACGACATAAAAATATTTTAATGCAAATTACATCCACTGACATTATAGACCTTAAACAATTATACATTTGAATAATGACTAATTTCGAATCAGAACATCAAACTTGTGTTTTTCTTAAGGAACAATATGCATCCTAAGTCGATGTTGTCGATAACAAAAAAATCTTTTTCAAAAATGGACTTGAGACATTTTTAAAAAAAAAAAAAACCAAGAAAAAATAAATGAAGTAATTCAAATAAGTAGTCGATAAAAATAATATGGAAAATAATACTTAAAAAGAATGTTGAAAAAAAGGAGTGGAAGAAAACATAAGTTATTGAAGAGGTAGACGTTGGAAACTCAATGCACCTACACCTACACCAGGATTTTGGGTGGCCATGTTATGGGTATAGGGCCCACACCTGCACCCGGCGTAGAATCGAAATTTTCATTATATTCTTTTTCCAATGTTACTTAAATAAATATTACTATAGTTCGTTCACCATAACTAATAATTATATTTTCGAGAGTTTTTAATGAACACAATCCAACTGGCAAGGTATATATAGTTATGTGACGTTTCATCTAATAATAAATTCATATTCTTGATTGNTAGGGCCCACACTTGCACCCGGGGTAGAATCGAAATTTTCATTATATTCTTTTTCCAATGTTACTTAAATAAATATTACTATAGTTCGTTCACCATAACTATTAAATATATTTTTCAGAGTTTTTAATGAACACAATCCAACTGGCAAGGTATATATTGTTATGTGACCGTTTCATCTAATAATAAACTCATATTCTTGATTGATACATACATAAATTTATCTTCAGAATCAAGTGTTGGAATTTTCATGGTAAGTCTCCAACAGTTATATCATATAAGAGATACCAATGAGACTTAGCAAAGAATAATACAATGAACTTATATATAGATATAACTTATATCTTTTATTGTATTAAAATACTTTTTTTTCACAATCAAAAGCTAAATATTTGTTTGATTCCNCATATTCTTGATTGATACATACATAAATTTATCTTCAGAATCAAGTGTTGTAAATTTCCATGGTAAGTCTCCAACAGTTATATCATATAAGAGATACCAATGAGACTTACCAATGAATAATACAATGAACTTATATATAGATATAACTTATATCTTTTATTGTATTAAAATACATTTTCTTTCATAATCCAAAGCTAAATATTTGTTTGATTCCTAATCAAAATTAAAAAAGAGTTAGAATTGAAATTCATTTTATCTCCGTATAGAAAAATTATTAATGACTTAACAATTTTATTAAATTCATTTATAGTATATTTCCTAATTTTAATTCAATTATGTAACCTTTAATTTTTAGTTTTAATTAAATTTTATGTAACATCTAGACTATATGAAATATTTAAAATATAACTTACGTGGAGGTCTTTGAAATGAAAATCCTAGGTTAAAAAAAAAAATAATATTTATAATAATTATCATTAAAATTTTGTATTAAAAAATTCAAGAGTAATTAATAATAGTATATTATACAGAACGTGTTCATTATTGTGCTATAAGTATCTAAATACTATTTCATTTCAGATGGTTCGTTTATATTATATGATATTAAACGTAAGCTTTGTTGTTGGTGTTAAACGAAGATTGTATTATACTAAGCGGTCAATGGTCGGCTTTCAGCGATGTGTAGTGGTGCAGTTCCAACATCGGGGAATGTAAAGATCATGACAGACATAATCTACACGGACTTATTGAATTACCAGAGTTATAATCGTAATATTATGAAATTTTTTTTTAAAATTATTTTATGTAAATAATACATCATATATTATTCATAAATAACTAATCTTGATGTAGATTTTATCATAGTCGCTGTCATAATCCACATCCTCTCCGATCGGACTGACGTCAACGTTACATTTTTTGAGCAAGGTAACCAAGTTTCCTCTTATCAATTACGGGTGATTCAAAATTTGATTCGATGATAGATAGATTTCCCGATTTTATCACCCATTAAAATCTAAATTAAACGAACGTCCCTATATTATTTGTCACCATTCACGATGAATCAAAAATGTATTTGAAAACATTTTATCTATGACGATTTATTTCGTGTTCAAAATCAGCAGACCGTTATTTCTACTTTTCTCTTTGCTTTTGCCGGATATACTCCGAGCTGTTTATGTGACGATAATAAATTAATACATTGTCTTTCACTGACCGTTGTGTTATTTGAGAATGAAATGATAATTATTTATAAACGCATTTCAAGAATATTTGATGACTGAAGCTCGACTAAAAAACTTGAAAAAAATTTACCTGTTCCGTTGAAAAAATACAATTTTAAAAACACAGTTAAAACAAAATAATTAAATTAAAAAATGGTAATATTAATATTTGAAACATAAAAACTCATAAATTTGTAAAATAAAAAGTATCAAAAATCGACAAAATGAAAACCAAAAAGAAGTCAAATTCAGGACCCGAGAGAGGTCTAGGTCATGCTTTTCATGAAACAGTTTAATACCCAATACATTTATACTATTCGGTTACTAATTTTTAATTTTCGAGTATAATAAATATAACTAGTTTTAATTCACTTATAACACTTTCGATTTTCTCATTAAAATTAGTAAAATTATCAATTTGTGAATTCACAAAAGAAATTGATTTCAAAAGACCTTCAGAATTTTGATTAATTTCTTTTTTTATTTTGTGACCCAATCCCTTTTGTTTTTAATTTTAAAAATGTTTATTTAAATTTTAAGCAATTTGTACAAGAATATCTTGATTATGTAAAATTAGATTTTTTTTTTTTTTTTTTAAATGTAGTCCTATGTAAAGTATACATCAGAAATATGCTAAATTTGTACACACTAAACATAATTCAAGTGTATCTTATTTATGCTTTAACGTTACGCCACATGTTATACATGGTGGGTGGCCTCTGGTTATTTAACCACTACCCAACGAAACACATAAGTCCGTCTGAAACAAACCGCTGTCACCAGACGCGAGTCCGGCTCCAGCTCCTCCTTTCGGCGCCGGACAGAGTCAACGCCGTGGCTCCGGAGAGCATCCGGATTACAATTTATGGATGTTAAAAGTTGGGCATATTTCGACACTCGACCACCACCGACGGAATAGACGATTAGTTTTAACCAGAGGTAGTCAGTTCTCTCCCGACACGCGCTTGATAACACATTCTCCGTTTCCAAAGGTAATTGAGCCGTCCGGAAACATCCTACGGTGCGACTAAACGGTCGGAACGCGAAAAGACCTCCAAACGACCACGCAGATAGGCGAGCCCGTAGTTTCACTAGATACACCTTCAGTGGAAAAGTACCGATCTCGCATTAATTATACATTTTTCTTTTACCTTATTTATATCTTAATTAATATCTGTCTATATTTTTGATATTAGCATTTACCTGCTCCTCTTCTTGGTACTGGTACAAAAAAAAAATAAAAAAAAAAAGAATATTAATAAGTATAATTGAAATTTAAGATTGTCAAATTCAAGGGTCATAATATATATATATATATATAACAGAATACGTTCATTATTCCGAAAAATATCGACAAATGCAAGTCTATGCCATTTAGTTAAAGGCACTCTAATATTGATTATTCGTACACAATACCGAATCTCCCTTGTTATCGGTTACTTCTATAAAAAATTTAAGTACTACCCTGACGCCTACGCTGGATATTTCCTCCCATATAGCCGCAAAATACATTAAGACACTCATAAATTTTAAGCTTCATAAATATGTACATTATATAAATTATTCTCAATCTTCATACGACGAGTATCAGTGGCGGGTTTATAGGTTCAAATATAGTCGGCAAGTCCATAAGAAGAGCCTCATACAAAATGTATCATTAAAATACCCCAAATTTATAAACCGCTCGCTTCGTTTGCGATAAAAGATAACCGGCTCATATTTATTTATTACATTTTTATAAAACAAAATTAATGGTAAGTATAAGAGTTTAAATTACAAAATAATAGTTGAGAATCTCTACAAGCATAACCTTAAAAAAATTGTTGATAAGATTGTCCATACTATGAAGTTTGACTNCAGTTCTAATGAGCACTCGCAGTTCTAATGAGTAATATTGAAATTATTCTAAATGAGTTTCTATTTGACGCAACACATCGAATATTGAATGTTTAATGATGAAAGTAAAATAACTCAATATAATATTTATTGTATTACGGGTCGTTCGGACATAGCCTTTTGACGGGAAGATGTACAAGTGTGTTTAAGTCTGCATATAGTATTATTAAAATTTAAACAAAATGTGGTCGTCAGATAATAACTATGAGTAAATGCCGTTGTGACACCAGACCCTGATCAAGACTTAGTTGTATTTATTACTAATAAGTACACTATAAAAATGACCGAATAGGTTGGCGTCCAAGTGAGGGGTGCTCCACCTTCTTGTGCGTCGGTGGTAATGCAGGTATACCCTCCGTTGTTCCGAGCTGACTGAACTCCCTTGGTGGTGATCACGGTCTCTTCATATATGTATGTCGATCAGGTCCTTGGTGGTGGTGGACGCTGCTGCCGTTGTCTACTGGTGGCTTGTCATTAGTATCCGAACACGTTTTCTTTTTGGCACATGTAATGTTATGCTCACATAACATAATATTATATGTGTATAATTATTTATTATTTATATCATTACAAAATTGTAACTAAAATATTCAAATATGGCCGAGTACTTGGTATTTTACAAAAGGTAAATAATTTAATAAATCTAACGGATCGTTCGCTATTCGAGAGAGATACAAGCTTATCTACAAGCAAAATAATTAGTGGCCCTCACCATGCATGTGAATTAAACTGCTAGTCGAAGTTTAAATCAGCGCATCTTAATAATTAAATATGAATCGTTTGAATTTGTGGTGAAGGACAATGTCCGTAAAAATTAACTATTGGTGTATTACAATTTCATTGCGTGTAAAATCGATGAAATTAATTATAAACTCATACATTTGTACATAGAGATTAGTAAGCAGTTACTTTGTTTAATAATAACATTTTCTACTTTTTAATGTATTCCCATATATTAGTTATCTTATAAATAAAACAATGGCAAATTATATTGCATTTCACAGTTTTGTCATTGTAATCCAAAAATTATGATTCCTGGCTTCCCGTTTTTTATAAATTTAAAATATTCCCTATAACGACTAGTAATAATCCCATATAATAAGAGACTGTCCTCCGAATTGTTATCATTTTGCTTATCTAATGTAGCTACTTTCTTACTACATAGGATTTTATGAGAACTATTTGAAATATTAAATAAATAACTTACGTCCTGGTTCTGGCGGTGCTGGAATAAGAATAATTAAAAGAATATTAATATTACATTACATTATAAATAAAATTGATATAATTCACTTGTATTAATGAAAATATGTATTACAAAAATCGTTCACTATTTGTTCATATAAATTTAATATACATACACAGTGGACGCCTTTTATAGAACTTATACTGTTACAATTTCATAAATTTCATAATTGTTAGGAAAACCGAAAAAGGCGAAATATACTATTTTTTCAAATTAAAGCACAACGATTTTATTATTTTAAATTTGTACGGCTTATATTTTCTACCATAAATATTGCTCCAATAGAAAAACACCAAAATATCATTAGGATAACCTTTAATCAAATATCAATACTTAGATGGACTATAAGTTGAAATTAATTTTGGTGTTTAAATTTATAATTCCCGTCAATCCGGTGACGAGTATTCCCCATTTTAGTTTTGATCGGTGAATAGTATAAGATTATTTTTTAAGCAGTAGGATGGCGCAGTGTGTGACGTTTTAACAATGCATCACTATTCTTCCCGATTCCTACTTAAAAGTGTAAGCAGAGCAAGCTTACAAACATAGACACTTGTCCCTACACATATACGANACGTATACCTTATTTATGTGGTCCTCAATACACAATTTAGAAGGAGGCCCCGTCAGCACTTGCCGACTATACATTCATTACATCCGCCACTGGATGAGTTGGATAATAGTAAGATAATATCATTCAATACAGTGCACTGATAAATGTTTAAACACAATACGGATACTGCGGTGTGATTAAATAAATTCACAAAATATCTAAAACATAACGCATTACGCGTGAAATTCAAACATTTATTATTTTTACTTGGTTAAATACAATTGTTTGGAGGATCAGAAATGTTTGACAACGTAGTATGTATAAGGATTATTTACATTAATAAAACTACCGTTTTATAATATAACGTGAATTTGTCACGAAATTTGAATGACCCAGGACTGACTCTTATATAGTTATAGAAAATAAATTATAATTATGGCCTAGTTAGTCATTATTATCTCCATTCGTCAACCATTAATTATATTATTTCTTTAAACTATAAAATACGTCCTGCAATATTACAAACTAAATTTTTGTAGTGTTAAATAAAAAACAATACCTCTCATTTGTGTTACTAGAGAAAACAACATATAAAAAACATGAATATCAATTAAAATGCATTAGATTAAAATAATCGATTTTAGATTCTGAGTGGAGTGAAAAAGCTTAAAGTTTTACAAAATTGTTTATTTTTTTTCTGTGCGCAACTTATTTACCGTAAAACTTGCTCAGATTTCTACGTGTAGCATTTTTTCTGAAAGCAATCGACGTGTAGAAGTACTTAAAGAGATCATTTCTTGATTTTTTTCATAAAATTTTAAACCCGGAATAAAACATAGGAAAACCTTAGGAAACTGGGAAAATGTGTATAACATTAAGCAAATCTTATTAAAAAAATATATAAAGTCTATGTAATTATTCCACTATAAAATGACTTATGATTTGTTGACAAAGCATCACTATTAATTAATCTCCGCTCGGAATCGTTTTTTCGTAAGCAATGGTTTATTTTAGCTTACAGATATATATTAAATTATCTATAACAGTGGCTGCACTAATCCTCAATATCATAGGATGACTTTATTATACATATTTAAATATAATCATTGTTCATTAGTAAAATATTTTTTTTTGTAAAGCAAAATGTATGCAATATTATATAATTCAATACCGTGCATTGATAAATTGATTTATACCAAATACGGATATTTTATTATTATTAAATAAATTTAGAAAAAAATTGAAATAAGCTTAATGCCTGAGGTTTAATAAATTATTATTTTTATTTGGTTAAATGTTTTTACGATTATAGCAATCCAAAATCTACAAAAGTTAATAAAATTGATAAAATTACTGTATTTTTATAAATAACCGAATTTTTGTTAGGAATTTGAAGGACCCGGGCCTAACTATTGTGTAGTTATAGAAAATCAATACAAGTCCTGGTTAATAATTATTATTCACAGTGATTCACATAATTCACAGAATTATTATTCACATTATCATTCACCATTCATTTTGTAGTTTTTTTAAACTATAAAAAAAGTCCTGGAATATTACAAGCTAAATACATTTATTATTAAAAAAAACAATACCTTCCACTAGTGGTTCTAAAGAAAACAAGATATACAAACCATAAATATTATTCAAATGAATGCCATTAAAATAATCCATTTTTTTAGTATACATACATTAGTGTACATAATAAAATCTTAGTACATTAATAAAATATTATTTGTTTTAAAACAAAATCCATGCAATATTCATATCTGTAAAATGATTATGTTGGTTACAGAAAACAGTTTTGTTATGTGAGAAAATTCCATTTCATTAAGCTCCTGAATATTATATTATATAATATATAATATTAAATAAAATATCACAGTTTTGTCATTGTAATCCGAAAATTATGATTTCTGGCTTCCCGTTTTTTATAAACTTAAAATATTCTCAATAACGACTAATAATAAGCCCATGTAATAAGAGACTGTCCTCCGAATCGTTATCATATTGCTTATCTAATCTACGCTGATGACAATGTAGCTACTTTCTTACTACATAGGTTTTTTATGAGAACTATTTGAAATATTAAATAAATAACTTACGTCCTGGTCCTGGTGGTGCTGGAATATGGATATTAAAATAATACAAGGACTATTAATGTTTCGTAATATTATAAATTAAATTGATATAATTCACTTCTATTAATTAAAATATGTATTACAAAAATCTTTCACTCTTTTCATATAAATTTAATATACATACACAGTTGACGCCACTTATAAAACTCATACTGCTACAATGTCATAATTTTCATAATAATTAGGAAAACCGAATAAGGCGAAATATACGATTTTTTAAAATTACAGCACAACGATTTTATTATTTTAAATTTGTACGGCTTATATTTTCTACCAGAAATATTGCTCCAATAGAAAAACACCAAAAGATCATTTTCCCTGATCTTTTAATTTAGTTGTTGACAAAGAAAGCCAGGCTTTTGATTATCTTTGAATTTTTTTTGATAGTTTAGCAAAACCGAAAATATGTTAACAAAGGGAAATTGTACTAAAATTATTATTTTATTATCTTACATATAGTTTTTGTAATTCAGTTTAAAATATTCCGAATGACCTATAATTTTAACAGAAAACTTGTAGGTATTTACTTCTCTAGACGTGGTTAAACTCTCCTGATAAAAATTTTAATTTTTCTATCTTTGAATTTTTTTTGATGATTTAGCAACACCAAAAATATGTTAACAAAAGGAAATTGTACTAAAATTATTATTTTATTATCTTACATATAGTTTTTGTAATTAAGTTTAAAATATTCCGAATGATTTAAAATTTTAACAGAAAACTTGTAGGTATTTACTTCTTTAGACGTGGTTAAACTCTCCTGATAAAAATTTTAATTTTTCGATTTTTTAGTATGCAGATAAATTGTTAGAATTGTTTTAAAATGTGTTGCTAAGTTTATATAGTATTATAAGCATTATAAGCTGTACTTTGTGGTAAAAAAAAAAAAAAACCTTAAGGTAATTTTTTTTTTTTAATTTTAATATTTAAAATTAAATTTTGATGAAAATCGTAAATATTATGATCATTAAAAACTTAAATAACCAAACTTCGTTCCGAATCGTTTTTCGTTATCAATGCTTTATCGTTGATTTGAGCTATAAATTAAATACCTTTATGTATTCCACCTTCCCTAAAACCTTCCTACAACAATGGCCACAACCGTCCCCAACATCTTTTTGGTTTTTATAGTAAATCATAAAATTGATTTCGAATATTAAAAGACGTCCTCTGAACGGTTCCAATTACTGTTATAGATAATTTAGATGATTTAATGAATACTTGTAAGCAACAATAAACCATTGCTTACAAAAAATTGATTTTGAACGGAGTTTATTTGATAGTGATGCTTTGTTAAGAATTCATGTCATTTTATATTAAAATAATAAAATTAGCTTTATATATTTTTTTAAATAAAATTTGTTTATTTTGTTTAGTTTGTTATATTTGTTATATTTGTTATATTCTTTCAATTTTCCTACGTTTTTCCCGTTTTACCCATACTTTATCTAGGTTTTTCATAATTTCTGGGAAAAATCTTGAGGAAATCGAAAAATGACCTCTCTATTGTATCTTCCCAAACCGAGTTCCTTTCAGAAAAGTTCTACACGTAGAAATCCGATCAAGTAAGTCTTCAGGTAAAAAAGTTGCACAAAGCTAAAATAAAAAATAAACATCTTTGCAAATCTATAAGCTTCTTTGTTCCACTTCTAAACTAATATTTGGTACCCTTTGCTGTTCTAGTAATATTAGAAAAAAAAAATGATCTTGATGATATTAGGAGATATTATAATTGGTATTATAATAAAACGATCTTTGTGAGATATCTTCGAATTTTGAGTATTCTTTTTCAAATTTTAGGCGATCAATTTGTTGTAAAATATTATTTATTATTTATTTATGTATTTATTTGTTTATATTAATTTTTTTCAGATTTATTTTTGGGTAAAAAACCTATAATTACTTTTTATTTTCAAATTAGGATAACCTTTAATAAAATGTCTATACTTAGATGGACTATTAGTTGAAATTAATTTTGGTGTTGAAATTTATGATTCCCGTCAATCCGGTGACGACTATTCCCCATTTTAGTTTTGATCGGGGAATAGTAGTGGATTATTTTTTGAGCTGTAGGATGGCGCAGCGTGTGACGTTTTAACAATGCATCACTATTCTTCCCCGAGTCATACTTAAAAGTGTAAGCAGAGCAAGCTTACAAACATAGTCACTTGTCCCTACACATATCCGAAATGGAACAATCTACCAGTCTTCATTAGATCGCCTCATACTATTTNAAGTTTATATAGTATTATAAGCATTATAAGCTGTACTTTGTGGTAAAAAAAAAAAAACCTTAGGGTAATTTTTTTTTTTTTAATTTTAATATTTAAAATTAAATTTTGACGAAAATCGTAAATATTGTGATCATTAAAAACTTAAATAACCGAACTTCGTTCCGAATCGTTTTTCGTTATCAATGGTTTATCGTTGATTTGAGTTATGAATTAAATACCTTTATGTATTCCACCTTCCCTAAAACCTTCCTACAACAATGGCCACACTCGTCCCCAACATCTTTTTAGTTTTTATAGTAAATCATAAAATTGAATTCGAATAATAAAAGACGTCCTCTGGACGGTTCCAATTACTGTTATAGATAATTTAGATGATTTAATGAATACTTGTATACAACAATAAACCATTGCTTACAGAAAATTGATTTTGAGCGGAGTTTATTTGATTGTGATGCTTTGTTAACAATTCGTGTCATTTTATATTAAAATAATAAAATTAGCTTTATATATCTTTTTAAATAATATTTGTTTATTTTGTTTAGTTTGTTATATTTGTTAATATTCTTTCAATTTTCCTACGTTTTTCCCGTTTTACCCATATTTTATCTAGGTTTTTCATATTTTCTGGGAAAAATCTTGAGAAAATCGAAAAATGACCTCTCTATTGTATCTTCCCATACCGAGTTCCTTTCAGAAAAGTTCGAGAAATCCGAGCAAGTCTTCGGGTAAAAAAGTTGCACTAAGCTAAACTAAAAAATAAACATCTTTGTAAATCTATAAGCTTTTTTGTTCCACTTATAAACTAATATTTGGTGCCCTTAGCTGTTCTAGTAATATTAGAAAAAAAAAATGATCTTGATGATATTAGGAGATATTATAATTGGTATATCTTCGTGAGATATCTTCGAATTTTTAGTATTCTGTTTCAAATTTTTGGGGATCAATTTGTTGTAAAATAATATTAATTATTTATTTGTTTATATTAATTTTTTTCAGCTTTATTTTTGGGTAAAAAACCATTAATTACTTTTTATTTTCAAATTAGGATAACCTTTAATAAAATGTCTATACTCAGAAGGACTATTAGTTGAAATTAATTTTGGTTTTGAAATTTATAATTCCCGTCAATCCGGTGACGAGTATTCCCCATTTTAGTTTTGATCGGTGAATAGTATTGGATTATTTTTTAAGCGGTAGGATGGCGCAGTGTGTGACGTTTTAACAATGCATCACTATTCTTCCCCGATTCATACTTAAAAGTGTAAGCAGAGCAAGCTTACAAACATATTCACTTGTCCCTACACATATCCGAAATGGAACAATCTACCAAAGTAATTAAATCGCCACATACTATTTGGCAGAATTGAATACTGGCTTGCGACCTATTGCAATCCCATTTGTCGCAACTTATAACAGGTAGAAGCACAGTGGGAGTATTCTGTTCCCTTATTATATAATTATTAAACTAATAATTAAACTATACATTTTTAAATATTAAAGTGTTTAATTAGTTAAATAATCAATAAATATTAGTAAAATATAAGTTATGTTACATTTAAAATATTTATTATATTTTATACTACCGAAATTTCTCATTATCCTAATAGATATGTAAATGATATTGAGAAATATAAGGAAAAAGGTGTATCAAAATAATAACTTACGTGTTAGGGATTGTTGTACAGGTACTAGTGTAAACAAAAAAATTCAATAAAATGTATCATTACAATTTATAATGATATCATTTTGTTTTCGTTATATTTTATACCACTGAAATTGCTCATTATCCTAATAGATAACTAAATTATGTTGACAAATATAAGGAATGTTGATATAATAACTTACCTCCTTGTAAAATTACTAAAGTAATAAAAGACATTCAACAATAAGTATCAGTTCATTGAATTTTAGATTTTGAACAGAGCGAGGAATGTATTGGTTTTACAATGATGTTTATTTATTTATTTTGTTAACAAAGCAACAATATTATTCGAACTTCGCTCAGAATAGTTTTTCGTTAGAACTGGTTAATCTTTGCATGCAGATATAAGCAAAAATATTATATCAATTTGTGAAGGATGTCCGTATCTTGTTTATATTAAAATTACATTAATTAAATTATAATGGTGTATAGTTAATTCTTAGGATATAGAAATTGTATATTTCATTATTCAGTATAACATTAATAAATCATCTTAAAAAGCTTTATAAAAAAACATAATTAAGAATAAATATATTCTTAAACTTTGGGGTTATTCATGCCGAAAAATCAATATATTAACTTGAAAAAATGCTGATTATTGACATCTAAAGAGATAAAATGGTTATAGAGTACCCACTAATATGACAAATCCGGATTATCAAAAATCCGAAAAGTCCGGATTTTAATTTCTGAATTTTAGATTTACCGGTTTAGGGTTCAAGTGTAAATTTGTGTATTTTTTTTATTTACAATTTAAGTATAGTTAATAAAACATTATGATAACTAATACACAAAAGAATACTAATTTAATGTTTCAATATCCAAAATTTGGATTTCAAAATCCGAGTAGAGGGCCGGTATATAATTGTTTATAATTATAGTGTTAGCCACTATCTTGAGTTTTTGAAAAAAAAGTTTCTAAGTGATGGTTTCCAAATAGATTACTTTGTTTTGCTGTCGGCAAAGTCCATTATCGCCTCTTGGATGGTGGCTTCTAGGGACTGAAAAGCGATATCTATGCCTTCCCGAGATTTTAATCGAACATTGAAAGAAATGTGTTTATATAATTTTTCTTGAAAGTGATTAAANTATTATTCTGTATGATTTCTGGCTTACCACCTATGTATAGTAAAACTAGAGAGTGGTAAAATTTATATTCAATAAATAATCTATAGCATATTTTTAATAAACAAAGAATATAATACAGAAAACAAATCTGCACTCAAAGTACAGACAATTTAAACATTCCGTTTATTATTCCACGTGTTTATGTTTTTGAAATGAAATTCAACCTACCAGAATGCATTTATATGTTGAATATTCCATCTAAATGTCTATGTCTAAGACTGTACGTGATTATATTATGTTAAATTATTATATGCTGTCATCTTTGTCATAGGCATTCATATAGGAGGGGAAAAGTGGGCAGCTGTCTCCCATGCCGAATAAATTATTCTTCTAAAAACTGAAATTTCTAATATTTTAATGAATTTGTAATTAGATAAATGATGTAAAAAATATATATACTTCCATCAATAATATTAAGTCAAGGTCAGATTTCGGGGCTAAAGGTCTTTTTTTTTTTTTTATACATAAAAATAACTTTTATACGAAATAGTGTTTCGTATAAATATCGAATATTTTAACATCGAAGATGATAGATGTGTTAAATTCGGAGCGTAGTGAGGAATCCATTGATTATATTGTTATGTGTGTATTTGTATATATTTATTTTACTGACTGTAAACAGCTTTTCTACTAGACAACTAGCTCTGAAGTATACACTGTAGCACCTTTATTAAAAGATAATTTTCTCTCATTGATGCATAAATGAGATTATTTTTCAAATATTAAAAGGGTTTTTGGAAAAAAAACCAATTAATTAATTCCCAATAACGACTAGTAATAATCCCATGTAATAAGAGACTGTCCTCCGAATTGTTATCATATTGCTTATCTAATGTACGCTGATGACAATGTAGCTACTTTTTTACTACATAGGGTTTGTTATGAGAACTATTTGAAACATTAAATAAATAACTTACGTCCTGGTCCTGGTGGTGCTGAAATATGGATATTAAAATAATACAAGGACTATTTATGTTTCGTAATATTATAAATTAAATTGATATAATTCACTTCTATTAATTAAAATATGTATTACAAAAATCGTTCACTATTTTAAGCTTACAAACATAGACACTTGTCCCTACACATATACGACATGGAACAATCTACCAAAGTACGTAGTGAGGAATCCATTGATTATATTGTTATGTGTGTATTTGTATGTATTTATTTTACTGACTGTAAACAGCTTTTCTACTAGACAACTAGCTCTGAAGTATACACTGTAGCACCTTTATTAAAAGATAATTTTCTCTCATTGATGCATAAATGAGATTATTTTTGAAATATTAAAAGGGTTTTTGGAAAAAATGGGTAAAAACCCAAAAGAAAAGTAAAGGCAAAACGACAAATATTTAAACGTTACCGTTTTCATTGTTTTTATTATGTCAACAAAGTGTTATCGAAAAGAAATAATACTCCGATTAAAAAAGGACAGAGATTTTAATTTTGATAATATTTTGCAACTGGCGATGTAAGTAGTTTTTGATATCTATCATATTTTACATAACAATTACGAAAAACCAAAAAAGACGAAGGAAACGATTTTTTCCAATTAACGGCACAATAGTTTCATTACTTTTAATGTGTGTAGCTTGATTTTCCTACCATATATATTTCTCGGATTAAAAACAATACAGAGATTTGGTTTGTTGAATTTGTAATCTAGTTGATGAACAAGAAAACGATTATTTTTTTTTAGTTTTTTTAATAATTGAGCAAAACCGATAAAAAAAATGCAGAAAGTACGGAAAAATGTACGAGAAAAATGATTTTATGATCTTCAATTTTGTATTTTTAATATATAAATTTAATGTATAATAATTTAATATATTTATAAAGAATCAAGAACTTTGACAAAAAACTAATATTTGCTTTTCTGGACGTGGTAAAATGTTGAAAAAATTTGATCCATTTTTTAACTATATTATAACATTTAAATTTTGCAAGTTTTGTACATAATTTTTATTTGGTATGAACTCGATAGAAAAAATTATTAGATTAAACGGAAATGCTTGAAAATTTGACTTGGGGTTCCATAATTTTCGTATATTGTGGTTTATGTAGTTTAAAATAANAGTATGCGAGTATGAACAATTTTGAAAATGACATGAAATTTTAAAAAATCACTTACGTGTTTGGGATTTTGTCTCTAGAGGAAAAAATTACAAATTAGTTATATTATGTTTTTTTTAAATATCTTAAAAATTACATAATAATATTCTAGTTTAATATTCGGTTACAATTTAATTCTCAATATGTATATACTATACGTGTATATCATAAATACAGAATGATTCACCAAGCTAGATTTTGCATATATTCAAATGTTGAATTTAGAATTAAAAGCCGATACTTTCTAATACTTAGATATGTCCAAACATTTAAGGAGTATCATGTGGTAATAAATAAAATGCCGCCACACAAATGATACACAAAAACTCTCCTTTACCTGAACTTAAAAGTGGAACACCTCATAAACAAAATGACGGAAATCAAAAATTATGTCATCAAAATTGTTTTAAAGTAATAATCGTCTATTTACGAAATGTTTGACACTTGTTATCATTTGTAAAAAACAAAGTTTTTATCTCCAAAAGATACTCCTAAACGTTGGAAAAATCTATGTATTCGAAAATATCAAGTTTAACTACACATAGAAATTTCAAAAACCAGAATTTGAATATATGCAATATTTAACTAAAACTAATGGGGTGAGTACGCTTAATGAATCGTCCCTTATATTCTAGTCTCTTTGGCCAATATACCGAAGTACAATGACCGTATCTAGTTAGCAGCTAATACATAGAGCTCAAATTCTGCTTGAAAGGTAAACGATTTAACACAGTGTTGAACAGTATTTAAACCTATCATCTCTATAAAATAATACGTTTTATAATGGTTTACACCGATATCAGTGCTGTCACATAATATGCAGTTATGCGTTCAAGCAATTATACATTTTAATATACAATTATCAAAGAAAGGTTTTATGGTATGTTCCAATATCCAGGTTTTCCGATTGTAACAATAACTTCACCTTCCAGATGGGAAAACGTTACTAATTACTTTATACATTTAATAACAATTATATTTTGTATATTTTTGTTCGTACAAACAAATAATAATAATAAAAAAACAACTGAATTAATTTACTACAATCAAGAAACTGAAAATTGGCAATTCATAAAATCAGTAATTTCAATAAATATTTACTACAATATTTTCCTTTTTAACTAACTATTTAAAATCTCTGGATTTTACAATAATTTCATCAATCTTTTTGTCCATACAACATTTGCTTTTATATTAAATAATCCTTCGATTTTCACAAATAAATATTCTACTAATTTTCAAATAAACTAATCATTAAAGTTGTGAATTTATAGGAATGCGCATTTTTTTAACTGATTATGAAACGTATCTTTCTAAGGACATAATATGAATAATGTAATAAGTTATTACATGTTATTACTAATAACAAATTAATTTAGAAAATTTTTTTTTTTGCATTTATTGATATTTTTAAATTTTAAGTTTATTTTTTGGAAATTTTTAAATTCATATTTTTCTTATTAGTTTAGTTTCCGATATTTTTAATAATATTTTTTCAATGAACATCTTTACACACATATTTTCTATTTTACACAAGTTATATATGGGTTAGGTAAAGAT